TGTCGGCTAATCCGCACTTATTACCTACATTTAAAATACCTATGTAAGGCTTGAACGTTAAAACCAGGAGATCAAAGGCTCCTAGAGATATGAAAAAAAGGTGCGAGCCTCATCGATCCGTAGCTTGACATTCGCGTCACGGAGCTGCAGGCCCACTGCGCCGTTGCCATGGCAACACAGCCCGGAGCCGAACTGAAGCCGTCAAAATAATCACATTTGTTATTTACATGCTTACAGAACATAAAAACCTTTTAATACGTTTAATAAATAGATATCTTCTATTATCTTGATCTTCTATTATTAGTCCACGTAATACTGAACTCATTCAATAAAAAAAGATTCATTAAAATCAGTTCTGAAAGGCCCAATGTACTAAGTAAATTTCGAAAACTTTATTTAATCTTTTTTAAAGTTAAATAAAATTTGGTAATAAATAAAATTAGACATAACCAAATTATAAAGGCTTGGTATTAAACATATAATTGACATACAAGTCGTATAACTCTAACGTATGTATATTTATACAATATTAAATATTTATAGTTTAGGTGAATTTATTATTAACCACCAGTACAAAAAGGAGGGTAACTAACGTGTATTCCGTATCTTTGAAATTTGACATCGAAATGGTTCTTAGCTACAATTTATGAAGAATTGTAAAGGCGTATCAAGGTAAACACATTTTGTTTACTTCTTGTAAAAAAATAGTCCATAATTTTAAATAGTGTAATGGTTAGTTTAACATTGAGTAATAAAATTAAAAATTTTAAGTAACCCCGACAAAAATGAACTATTTAAAATTATGAACTATTTTTTACAAGAAGTAAACATAATTCTAATTTATTAATTGAATTACTCAATCAATCTTATGGCTGATTGAATAATTATGAGTTTGAAAAATCCTGTTTTAAATTTTACGCTGAGGAACTAGATGAGTCAAAGGCACACTATGTCATAATGAACACGACTCTTGACATGACCAATTTTCGCACTGACCACATTTTATATCGGTGTTTCTTTTACCGGAGAGTCGGTCAGAAATATGAACTGACAACCAAAGGTAACAGCCAGAATTGAACGGACGACTGCACCGGTGTAAATCAATAAACCACTAGTTTGTACCTAAGTACTACAATAGAAATAAAGTAAAAATAACCAAATAACCCCTTATCATTATTGTCAACTGTATATCATATTAATTGCTGTCATTAAGATTACTATCTGTCAAAAACATGAACTTTTATTACATAGTTTTCCATTTACTTACTGCATAAAAAAGTTGAATTGTAAAATAGATAACATTTTAAATATAAAGGTCTGTTATACTATAAGATATATAGAGCAATACAGTTAGCCGTTAGTCTGATGTGTAAGCCTGTGGCACTCGTCTGTCTCTGCCTATTCCGTAAGGACCCTAGCGTTAGGATAGAGATCCTTTTTGTTGAATATAACATAGGGCAATTACAATATAACTTTACTGATACACAAACAATCGACATGTTTATCAATTAATGCACTTCAATATAATTATACAGTTTTATTTAAAAGTATCTTAGGAATAATTTAATAGAAGCATATTTCTAATAGGTAGGTATTAGATGATTGTAAGCTTGAAGATTTATTTGATAGCATCATGACTTAGTTTGTTATACCCAGAACTTACACCCAAAAGGTTGTGAATTCAAAATTTAAATAAAAAGTAACTTTGCCTCAACACGCATTAATTGATTCATATTTTTTAAGGTTATTCCAAGTGATAACTCTACGGCTTTTAAATATACCCAATTACCCAGTGAAATGTGGGCATGACAGGTATCACGTGTCATGTAACATATCTGATTGTACTGACGGATATCACATGATAACCAGATATCCATAGTGCTGTACCAGATATCCATAGGTGCCCGTTCCTATTTACCATTAGCAATCTTCAGTTTGCAATTGAAATTACATAAGAAAAAGTTAAATTTAGTTTGAACCATGATATCCTAATCCTCTGGTATAGCAACGCATCCACGTATGTTCATGTATAGGTAACGGTTATCGCAACAACATCAACAGGTAGGGTGTCAGCTAAATGCGAAAAAATACCTATTCATTATATTTGTAAGCTCGAAAAGTCTATAGTATAACCCATAGATACATGTCTATGATAATGGTAATAGTTGCGTACGCGCACCCCTGTCAATATCCCGACACCCCTGTATAGAGTGGCCATCTATAAATAACGGCAGGAAACACCGTCCTTCCTGCTTCACTACGACACTTGTTTACCTTACCAGCTGTTTAACCCCAGTAGTGGTGAAATACTAGATGAGTACGTTAACCTCAGTGTACATGCTTATTTACAAGTTCAAGTTGAACTTAAATATCTAAAACATCTAAATACCTAAATAAATTTAAAAAGTTAATTTTTAAATATTCTTTTGTTAACTGAGATATCACGGCTCTTAGCCTGTAATTTCACTGGCTAATCGCACTCTACAACTATCAAGCTTACAAAGCATCTTGACTGCCGTGTGAAGTGTTCTACACTGAGGTACTAAGGGGATTGTTGGTAATAGGGTAACCCCATCGCTAGCAATGTACCATGACAGGTAGATCTCCACGCGTTACCCCCTGGAAACCATCGTGGTTAATTCCTATTGGATTTGTCATAAAAAGTTAGCCCTTTAATTCGACTCTGACTGTCTTCATGCTCAACATCCTTACTGGTGAGTCTCCAGCGTATACCGTAAGTCTAGGCGGGAACATCATTCCATAATTATCAATTTTAAAATATGAGATACGACTTTTAACAATTTATCTATGGAACATTCTATATAACAGTAACATTTTAAAACTAGTAGTAACAGCTTTTTGATGAGATGTTACTGTATTTATATATTGTAAATATATAAATACATACACTTAAATACAATATTGGAATGTTCTGCAGCAATATAATGTGTTCTATCTGTAGTGGTACCACCACAGTCACGTCCCGTCGAAACTGTTATTTATGTAAGTAGGTTTACAGACCATCCCAACGACCGTTACTATATTTATTGAGGGTTCACTCCTTTTATGCTTCCAATACATTAACCCTAACAAAGTGTTTTACTAGGCCCAAGCGAATTATTTGCAGTCATATTTATATTTTAACAAGCTTCCCGCCCCGACTTCGCATAGGTGTGCATACATACGTACGTAGACGCATGCAAAAAAACCCGGGGAATTAGAAGCTATATAACCTCTTATTGACTTATATATATACAAATAGTCATTTTAGAATTAGAATTCTATCTAAACTTCTTGAGATAATGGTCAATATTTTATTCCTCTCCCAAAGAAGATGAAGATGACTTTATAAATTTATAAATTACTTCGAAATTTCCAAATTGCAATAGGCTTTTCATTTCTCAATCCCACGAAAAAAATTGTCTTTGTATTGTACGTGTATTTGCACACTTCTAAAGGTCGCTTCCGTAAAACATCCCAGTTGTGTTGCCAATCTTCCCGATTTTACTGAAGTGTCACACATTAGTGATAGTTATTTGCATCTATCAATCACTATATTTGAAATTGATTAATGCTCTAATCTAGTTAATCTAGTTTTATGCCCTTCCTGGCTCTCGTTTTAGTTTTTTTTTTTTGTGATGTAGGTATATTTTTACACTATTCAATGGTTTTCTTTGTGGCCCACATGGGAGTAGTACCAATTTTCAAGTTGAAAGAGTATCAACCTAAATCTCGCGATTTCTCGATAGAAATTTTTTTTTACATTGTGCCTACTAATAGTATGTACCTAGATAGGTATATACTTAATCTTATACAATGTTTGAAGGTATATGAAAATTATAGTAGGTGTATTAGGTTAGTGCCGCTATTTTTTTAAGTCCTCATTACTAACAATCCTCTTTCCCTCTGAGCCTATTGCCTGTGTTTCGCCTCAGTTGTCTCGTATATACAGAAAAAACTGTACCTCCTTAAATGTAATTAAAAACGAAGTAGATACAAAGTAGATACAATTCATAAGTGGGTATTACAACCCAATTCTACACAAGGAGTACAGTTGTACCTACATTACATGGGTGCTACAATTTTAGAAAATAGTAATCTACAAAAAGTAATACCATAGGTAGATATTATAGAAACAGTGCCAAATCATGATGAATATATAATAAAAATATAATATTTTTTTACGTAGCTACACGTAAAAAAATATTAATATAATTTCCGTTTCCTCAAGGTTTACATTAATTTATAAATTATATTTACCCCTGCTGTCATCGTTTGAGCGAGCACCACATCTCCGATCTCACAAGCACCTTGTCCAAACAAGACATATAATATCTGCACTACCGGTGTCATAAGAGTTATATTTCATCGGAACTTAACTGGGATCAACATTTTACTTTAGCAGATATGAGACACCAATATTGCTTTACTTTACACAGACATAGTCGTAACATCAAATTTTACGTTAATTCTCTCAGAAGCACCAATAAAACACCGAATCTAGAATGACCCCAACCTTATAAACACAATGTTTATATTATCAGATAGTTTACGTAACGTACGAAACACCGCCCTACGGCTAGGGAACACCGAAAACTGAACTGCCTGAAAGATATTGTAGTATAAACTGGATTTGTAACAGGTATACATAGCTACCAAAGTACGTTACTTTCTACATTGTGCAGTGACATCTAGTGTTCAATAGCAAAACTACAGAAAAACTTTAAGCAATGACAACTCAAAAGTTCTTAATTGTCTCCGTAGTGACATCTGAACGTAGTGTAGAATCACGCAGAAAAATACTTACTTCTTTGTATTTCTATTTTCGCTTAAAGATTCTAGTATTTTAGCTCCCGTTATTCAATTCACTTATTATTTATCTTTCTAAAGTCTATTTTATTTTTCTATTCGCACAATAATTGGTAGAACTGAAATAATCCAGTTATAGTGACTGACAGCTGTCAAATAAATAAAATGTCTTTAGGTACCATAAATGTCAAAATTCCTGTCTAACTTGTTTTTCAAACTTAATTTATTATATTTGTTAATTTTCTAAAAAAAACGCAAAATTATAGATTTCAATAGAAATAATAGATTTCAAATCCGATAAAGTAAAATTATACCTTTATTTTTATATATTTTTGACATTAAATAATATGGTTAAAGTTTGGAAGTTAGGTCTTATGAGTTACGATACCGCCTTAAAAATTCAGTTAACTATTGCTCGAAAACACTTGGATGCTGTAATGAAAGGCATAGAAACAAATTATGATACGCTTCTTCTTGTGGAACACAAACCTGTTTATACTGTCGGTAAGATATTAAATTAAGCTGCTCATATAACGTTTAACACTGACTCTAACTTAAAAGTAAACAGGTTACTTTAGTTTTCAGAGAACACTTAATAATTTTTCTATTAATAAATATGGAATACGTGAGCTAACGATAAACACTTTCGGGTTACCGAAAGCAACAACCCATCATATTGACTTCACCAGGAATTTACCACTTTGACTTCCAGGGGACAATGTGCTACCTGACATGGTATATTTTACAAAAGGACAATTAATTGCCAGCAATGATAAAACCCATCCCTCTTAAACAATAGTTAGTAAATCAAAGAAATTATATGTATTTATTTAATTAATAAATTTTATTTTAAATATTTTAAACTTTCAAATACACCACTAAATGTGGTCATGTCAATTGTTACATACTACTACATTGATAGCTGACAACAATTCTGACTAGGATAATTTCAGGCAGGATGCCTTTAAATATCTTATGTAGTTGTAGCCCACTTATATAAAATGAAATATCTACTTTGGAAAGTACCCACTCTATCCTAAGGAGATAAAACTTATCATTGATAAGAATATCCTTCACTTCAATTCTTCTCCGGACAGGCCTATGCAGCAAACTCAAAAAAGGATGAGCACAATAGATCTTTGCAGGTTGCCCTGCTATAGGTCTCTTTAGTACCAAGTAGTAGTTTTGGATACTACTACCCCCAATAAAAAAATAAGCCCTCTGGGATAACAGTTACGGCATGATGTATTTTAAACCTGTTTTACTTCAAAGGTATAAGAGACGAAACCCCAAAATCAGACGTTCTAAGGCTCAGAGAGCTTGGTGCAGAGTTTAAAAAAACAAATAGAGGTGGCCTCATCACGTTTCATGGTCCAGGACAACTTGTTGCATACCCCATCATAAACTTGAAACATTTTAAACCCAGTGTAAAATGTTACGTCCACAACTTAGAAGAGACTGTAATTCAAATATGTGATGAATTAGGTGAGTTGATTTGATATATAAACCTATTTAAATCTTCAAAACTGCTTTTTACAGACTTGCTAAAGGTACTTGTTGATAATAATCAACCAGTACCATACGAAGCATATAAAATCAAACTATGAGACACATTTAAGTGTTATAAACAATATTTTTTAATAATTTATTCAGAAGTACCAGATTTTATCTAGTCATATAGATTATATCCAATTATCATACAGGCCAATATAGCTTTTATGAAACTATTATATAGTTTTTTTTTATATTTCCTTGCCAAAGAAGTATGAAATTTTAAAATAATTTTTGAAACCTTCACACAAACCGTTTGTTGGCATGTCTATTTTAGTATGAAAAGATTAAAATTTATATTCTAAAATTTACATCTTGGTAAATTACGTCGTGGTTTAGTCTCATAACAATTATACGTGGCGTTGAGCTTAGTTTGGCCTTTTGGTACTAACAGTGTAGTAACAGTGTTTGGTAGTAACTGTACAGTGTGTAACCTTGTATAGTAGACAAAGCAATGTTATAAAAAATGTGTATGTGTTTATGTATTTTTGAGATAATATAAAATCTAATAAGATTTTTTAGCTTTGCTTTTTTCTTTATAGAAATAGAATTGAAATGGAAAGAAAATTTTAAATATAATAAATAATAAACACAATTAGTTGTCCAATCTAGAAGACATTATATAACATGCATACATAACTTACAACTGAAAAGAAAATCTCTTTCACAGGTATTAAAGCGAACCGGTCACCACATACTGGTGTATGGGTAGATGATAACAAAGTAGCAGCTATTGGTGTACATGCATCGCGGTACATTACCACTCATGGTATTGCATTAAATTGTGATAATGATTTGTCGTGGTTCGATCATATAGACCCTTGTGGGATTAAAGATAAAGGTGTAACATCACTGACCAAAGAAACAGGCTTAAATTGTTGTGTAGAGAAAATGACACCGTTATTTTTAAAGAAATTTGACAAAGTTTTTGACTGTAAATGTGAAGAGCTAGATACAAATGCTCAGGAGGATATATTGAATTCGGTCTATAATAATTTATTAACTCAAACTGTTATATGAAACTAGATAGTTTATTTTTTTATGATATGATCTGCTTCAGAGTTAGTCAAAAGAAGTTAGGTATTTATTTATCACAAATATTGTTTATTGTTGAAATAAAAATAAATAAAAATTTGTACAAGTTTATTTCATTTGTAAATTTATAATGAAAAAGTAATAAATAAGTAAATTAATTAAATTAATTTCAATAAATAAAGTAGAAATCTCAAGTTGGGTTGAGAGAAACTATTATATTTTATGACTATAATATGTACGAAATGGAGTTAATACATTAGTCCTCTATATATATTTGTTTCTACAAAACCCAACTGAAAGTTCTCAAACATATGTTTTAGAATCGTTAGAAAATGGATTGCGCAATAATATATTTACAAAAATAATTTTATTGTTTAATTTGTTACGAGAAATAAGGGATCATGAAAATATGTTACGATAGCACAAATAATGAAATGATTTCCTATAAATAACAATATGTTAGTTAAGTGATTTTTTCTATAAATTAATAACTAACTATTAATATAACTAACCATACTATCAGAATATTCCCCTTAAACCATTCAATTTCGTCACAATTATACTGATTCGTTAGTTTTCGGGGACTATTCCAAACAATGTTTCATCTAATTTGATGTGTACCTACTCAATAATTGTACAATAAACTGGTCCGATACTTATTCTAATAAATGCATTCCCTTAATAATATATATTTTCCTTTAACTGCAGTATTAAAGGAAAATAAATAACCTATCTGTTTGTTACTAATATTGGCTAAAGGCAATGGACAAATGAATCTATTTGTCATTAAATTCGCTATTCCACTAATCGTATTATATCTACTTAAAATTAGTAAATGCTTTTAAATGCAATAAATTATAACACTAAAATAAATGCAAAACACGCGGTGGTTAAAATAATATCAAAATTGTCACGAAATCATTTCCCAAACAAATACACCACGAGAGTATGCTTTATAAATTACAATATGAACGACGGAACTTAATTAAGTATGGACGGATTTATGACGTTTAATACAGTTTGTATGGGTTTTTGTTATCAGTCATTTGTATCACAAGTTCCTCAATACATGACAAACATTGGAACAACTGTATGTCGAGACAAACTTGTCTAAATAGCCTCTTGTTGTGAGTTAGTCGCACATTGGACAAGTGTGTTTACGACATGTGCTTGGGCGGTGTAAGCCATTTGCGCATGTAATAACAGAATATAGTTGCTATATATAAAAGGACGAGCAGCGCGCACGCTACACCCAACAGGAGTACGGACGACTTGCTGGGGCACGGCTCCACTATCGTCACTGTTTTCTCTGCAAAATGTAAATAATACATAATTAAAAACCTTTAATGAAATGATACAAAAAGGACCATCAAAATCTATATTATCATGTAACATTCGCATAAAATAACAATAAGACTGACTTTATACTCAGTTTTATTTTAAATCTTTTAATTTCTTTCAAGTCCTTTTAATGTTATTACAATATTTTTTTATAAATAAATACAGTGGAATTAATTATCTACTTTTTGTGACTGAAAATTTATCTGTCGCTATGTCGAGGTAAAGCAATTTACAATTAATTACTATTTCATCACTATATAACAGATTCAATCAGAATAAACAGATAGTTAAAATTCATTCAAATTATTAAATTACACAGACATCAAATATTAATTGGTCTTACGGTTGTTAATTTTTATGTACCTAGTCACCCAGTGTTACCTACAATCAAATACCTATATACCTAAGTGACGAAACATATTCCAATACTCACACAGGGAGGCTGCTAATCACTCTCTCACTCATTAAAAATAGTGGAATATAACTGAAGTAATTACAGAAAAATTTGCTTACCACCAAAGTTTGCCTCTGACGCAGTACCGCCAGGCTTATCTGATCTGAGGAAATCGGTACTCTGGCGGTCATCACCGAAGTCTAAGACGAGGATTTCTTGCGATATATTCATATCTTCCTCTTGAGAGTGAGCTTCGCCTGTTTCCTTTTCAGATAACGAACGCTTTCTTCTGCCCCAGGACTCCAGGGATTCTCTGCCCCAGTCGCAAACAGCCTGTGTACACAAAAAAAATCATCAGCTTCAAGAAGTGCCTAATAGCCGGGGCTCTAATATTACAGACAACTCAAAGTTTACTATATTTAATTAATATAGATGAATGCAAAGTGATACTTGTAAACTTTCATATTTTCCAAAAAGACGCCTAAATTTTATATAACTATAAATAATTTAGTCAAGATTGAAGTTAGTAGCAGGAACTATAAATTAGTTCCTGCTACTAAATCGACTCACAATTTAGGAGGCCTTGCATAAAAAAATGTTCATTGTATATAATGTGCTGACTACAAACTTCGATGTACTAACAATAAGTTTTCATTAGTATGTTGAATAAATCGAATAAATGAACCAACACAAAATTTTATATGTAACTCGAAAAATAAAACTAAATGCATATGCAGCTAACAGCCCTGATGTTTAAGAAAAGTAAAGAACACTAACCGGTTCACAATGTCCAAGACAATACTTGACGTTACACTGGAAGATGACGCCATATGACTCTGTAAATCTGAATGCTTCGTACACTGATTGCAATGCATTGCCATCAGGAGAGAAGGCTGGGAATATTGATGGATCAACTGGACACCTGAAAAATCAAATTCACAAGTGACTCTCTACTTTCAATTTATAATTTATTTTATAACGAAGTACAAAATCTATGCTCATCTATTTCTCTCTGTTTCTTCTATTTCTGTTGTCAAGCAGCTAGCTCTATAAAAGGGGTTAAGAAATATGGCATGCGAAATTAAGAGTGCAGAGGAATAACACATTAGACCTTGAATGGCAACGTACGAGGGTTAAGGCGGACGTCATATGACGGTGTAATTACCTGAAGTTCGTAAAGAGGTTAATCAATTTGGACGACGACTGCTACTTACCATTAGCATCATATTGTTTGCGATTTGAATTATATAAAATTGTCACCTCTTTGTCGTATAATGTAGTGAAGTAGTATAGGCAATCATTCATTATAAAATACTATTATCAAGTAGTTAATATATCCTATCGGATTTTGTTGACAACCGAAGACTGATTATGCTGATATAAAATAGAAAGCTGTTGAAGAAGAATTTATCAGTAAAAAAAAATAAAACACTACTCACCCATCATCATCGATAATCTGGAAGGTACTCTTGGAATCCTTTGCCATGGCCACACAACTGCGCGCAAATATACCATATGGAGCTACAATAAAATGGTTTTAGATTATATATTGGATATTAAAAATGTAAACATTAATATAACAGATATTAAAACAAACTCACTATCATCAGGAATCTCAATGCGGAATGTAAGCCGATCTCCAATACGAACGGTCTCCACTTCTCGTTGACGTGCATCCAAAATACGAATACGGGGAGGTGGAGCTTCCGGCGAGGCTGTGATAGAAATCATCTCCGGATCTCTGCAATTACACAGGTGCATTTACTATCATTATATAACTTTATTATCGATATCTCCTAAGCACATAGTATTGTGCGTTAAATCAAGATAAGACGGCTTTCGATTTATGTCCTACTAATTCATTATATTAATTAATTTGAAAACTATAGTCTAATCTCTAGTCATAGTCATATGTAACCCTTAAATAAAGTTCTGATAAAAATGTACAGTAACTAACCATAAATAAAAAAAATATGCTCAATTACCATTAATGATCCAAATACCTACTCTAACTACCCAAAACGAATTGAGAACAATAACTTCAACATGATGTAACAGACATCAGTTGATCATTCACACGTTATTACAATACAATGTAATGTGATTTACATACTAAAAATAGTCATTATGGCCACATATCAAGTAGTCACATCAGCTTCATAGACAGTGATCGTGATAGTATCTCTCTTCAACTCGGTTCATTAAAAATGCATAAAAAGTACTCTAATTGTAATTATATTGCCTATCACGTCTTCGTGCCGTTGTCGCGTATTTGAATTTAATTTATGTAACGTGTTTACAATTCGAGAGTGATTTGGTGTCTTCTTGTGAATAATTTCATGACGGCATGTGGTAAATAGCATTCAAGCTATTACAACCACGTCACGTTTTCCAATCTTATTAGAAATCTATGTCTAAAGCTTAGTACAAAACATGTACAAGTACAATGACGACATATTTTCGCAGTTGTTATGCATGGCTGAAGTTGTTTTATGTATCACTAACCTGATTGGCACCATTCCGAAAGTGATGTTCTTCGAGCTCATATCATATGTACATTTCACTTTATAAATCTTATCTGCTTTTGTCATAACTACGCTGTGATGTTGGAGTACAACAGTGTTGGAGTAAACTCCAGTCTGCAAATAAAAAGGACAAAACCTAAGTTACGATTCGAGGCATTGGCAACACAATGACGATGAGACACTGGACAATTTGAAAAATTTGTGGTATTTTCTGATCATTAAGCACAGTCCTTTTCCAGCGTAAACCAACGTTTAAATAGTTTCCATTATATTTTAAATTTCAGGATTCTCTACATCCTATGAACTCTATTTATTTCTCAGTTCATTTGCTTTATATTATTACAGTTTGGTAGTATTATTATACGAAATACCCAGGTAAATCATTTTTTCTTAATTGACAGATACCGTGTCCATGCGCATCTCTATAATTTATTAGGGTTTATAGTCGTTTTGATTTTTTTTAACAAAATATACGTGTAAAATATTTGTAATACTCACAATGCTCTGTGTGTTACAATCCTGGCCTGACATGGTGAGATCGAGTCGGAAGAGGTCACTGTTGACCACGTCGATGTTGCAAGTCTCGGAGCGGCCCAAAGCATAGATACGACCATTGAATGGCTTATTTGTACGAACTTGTATCGCAATCCTGGTGTCTTTGCAATGAACTGACACTAAAGAAACAAAAAAGCGAAATGTAATTTTATATAGATACTATATATATATACTAGCTATAGCTTCTAAATTATGTAATATATTTGCAACAACAATGTTGGGTTTGAAATGTTGTAGTTAAATGTCTTTCACATAAGAAATAGTATATACGAATACTTTGTTGTAATCCATATATAAAGTAAGATCTCCAAGACAAGATTGACTTGAGATAAAACGTAATTGTCCACTCGGTATAAATATAGAATCGTATTTATTTTCTATGGGCAGCACAAACTTCTAATTTATTCATTTAATCTGTAGGATAAGAAAACTATTAACACATCAAAGGCACGCCTAATGTATATATTTTTTAAATTAATAAATCATAAATATACTAAAATATTAATTGAAATCAGTTTAATGTTTACATCATGCGTAGATTCCCTATTTGTTAATATATTTTTGTATATGTATACTTATTTTCATTACAAGGCATGGATATGAAAATATTATCAAATGTTTCCTATTTCTGTTGTTATTCGTATTTTTCATATTTATTCCAATTATAACATTTTTACCAATAAGTATATATATAGAAATTAAAAAAAAGATTGTATGTTGAATAATGTGAAATATCAGATATGATTTTTCTGGTATAATACGCAGATGGATAAGATTAATTACACAAAATCAAATTCACAAGCATTAAAAAAATAAAAAGACGAATTTAAAAATGTGTATTCAGGAAGTCGCTAATTAGTGTATAATTGCTTAATAATTTCCAGAGCAATGCGCACCTGACCAATGGCATCTCGATTGCATGGACATCTTGTTATTAATGTAATGAAAAATAAGGGTACATAATTACCATCGTAGCAAGTGCCAGTCTTATCACAGTTGGCGTCGTTTCTCGTCAGGTTGTTTGATGTTTCGGTATCCTGTTGATGGTCGATAGTAACCGGTAACTCGCCAGGCGGGTTGGCGTTCGTCGGCGGCTCTAAAACAAATAAAACCACATTACATTTCTTAGATTCATTCTAACGTAACCCAAATTATAGGTAATGGAGCCGAACAAATCTATAAGTTGAGGACCGAGAGCTTACGTAGTACTGATTAAGAGAAAATATGTGCGTGGTCTGCGTGTATCATAATCGACACAAGATTGCTGCAACGCCGGTCTCGGTGATTTTAAGTGCAAGCTACCAATGCAATTACAGTAGATACGTACATGGTGCAAAGCTCGCCGCTTCTAGCAATTCTAGATTTTCACACGCGATTGATGTGTACTAACATAGAAAGAATCCGCTAATATCCAGAACGAATGCACAATGTTGAGCCTTCTAAGATGAAGTATTTAACATTAACTGTCCTTCTTGGAGATAAATATTTCGTTATGGGACTAAATAATTGTGCATTTAAGGAATTCATAATTCTAAATATTCAACGTTGTCAATATAAGACTGTTAAAACAGGTACACTTCAGTTCATAGTAACTATAGGTGCCTAAGGTTTACACTGATTTTTTGTCTAATTTTTTAAACAACCAGAGGAAAGACTATTCAATATTTAAAATGTTTTTAATGTTCATAGTTCCAAAAACAAAATTAATAAATGTCTCTTACAAAATCTAATTATGCATATATTTTCACTGAACAAATCAGTAATAGAGCAGTACCAGTAGCATATAAAGGAATCAGTTACCGGAACGCTTTCGGTCGGTGAACCGTTCCTAATCGATTCGTTAGCATAGTGCCAATGTCTCGACATATTCACGACGAGGTGACGTAAACTGGCCATTTGGGCCGTTGACCGAATACTGGACAAAAGACTGTCACAACCCCAACGACTCTATGCTAACACAAAACATGTCAAAAAAACCCATACCTTTAATTCATATTTAAATATATTTATCTTACATTTTATCTATGAAGATTAGTACTTTACTACTAAGTAGGTACATTATAGAGTTTCAATATAATGTTATGTATTAACTTTTAACTGCATAGGTAAAGGTTATCAGATTAACCTTAAAACAAGAGACAATCGAATCTTTGACCTAAACAAAACAGATAGGTAATCATTTCAATATTTTCAAAAGAAGGCGATAGAGGTACTTTTAAGGTGACAGAAATTTAAGCTAAATCTAGAGAAAGCACCCGGATTCAAGTTCATTAAATATGAAATCAACTAAATAATCTGATCTCATCCCCATTATTTAGTGCCCGCTAACACCGGACACTCAGACAGGATATACCATCATCGAAAGGAAATATATTTTTATCTATACAAGTTGCAAAACTTGAATATCCTTTGCACTAAAACGGATGTAAACTGGATTTAAAGTTTCTTCTAGTTTTAATGGCCTCAATTATATCATATAAGTATGATTAATGGTTGTATCTAATTAGGAAGCATATATTATTAGAAAATATCAATTGAGTCTAAAATTAACTAATTTAGATGGAGCGCAGAAAAAATGCTAATTAAATCGTAGACATCTTACACATTATAGATCTAATCTGGTTTTCTCATCATAACAAACCGAATTAAACATTGAACTCGGAAATTGAGTTAGTTACAAAAAATATATAATTACTAGATTTATAAGTTTGCTTTCTAGTCGTCCCGATAAAATTTTATTTTTAGATACCTATTAAATAAATATAATTTAAATTGAACGATATTTTTTATCATATTATAACTTACAGATTTAGAAAAAGTAGAAACAAAATTTGCCAATTACACCTTGTCATGTTTCTAGCCATAAAAATCTTGTAAATAATGATACTGACACAGTGATTGCTTCGGAACCGGTAATTTTTCACGACGCCATATCCGCTCAACTGCCAATCATGACTAACTTTCATATTCATTCACTAGCCCATTATCATAATGACATCCTTGGAAGGACGAGTGGATAATATGGCAATATTATTTATTATTTTGGCTCACATAAAGATTTAATACTTTATGTGGCGTGTCTTCACCAAGTTTGATTTACAAGTCCTTCTAGCTATAGAAGCATGGGATGCATATTAGTTTTTACTGTCTCGTTATATTTATTGTTGTATAAATCAGTGACTCACAAACGAGCGACTGCCTTTATTGGTAGAAATCACAATAAATCTTGAACGCCATAAAGACTATAGCAAGTACATGCCATGATAATACTACCTTGGCTAGTCTCGATGTAATTTATTTTCACGTTTTCCAACGAATAGGCGAGTAAAATTATAACATCTATTTTCCTAGGCTTTTAACATTATGGCGTAATTTATTTCGATCTTGAAACAATATTAATTTGGTCAAAAAATACTAGTAATTGTACCGAAAACAAAAAAGTAATCATGTAGGTATATGTATTGTCATTATAATAAAATGTCCTTCAGGATGATCATGATTATTCTCAAATCAAGACAAGAAAGTATTAATTTTATTATTGATTAATCCTCGAAACATCATTAAGATATCAAATAAACCCAAGTTCGTTAATATACCTATTAACTAACAAAATATAACATGTCGGACAAATCCTACCTACTTCTTAAAAACCACATTGTATAATACACTAAATGACGCTATATCTACATTACGTTAATCATTAAACTGAAAACAATAGACATTAATGCTGATAAGAATGTATTACATAATATTTACTCGCAGTTCCGAGGTTAGCGAAGTCGTTGACTCGCCGCCCGGTTGCATCAATCGGCATATTTGCAACGCTTCAACGGATCATAAAACCGATCAACAAATTCCCACGCTCGCATTATTCTCAGTTAGAGTATGAAAATAAAAACAAACTACGAAACGGTACATATATAATGTATATTGAATAGATACCTGTATTTCAACCAAAGACACTATATATATTTATAAGCAATTCACTGAAAGCATACTTGCCACTCCAATTTTATAAAATAAACTAATTTTATTCCAATCTGCTTTTGGATATTCCAGAAAATATTCATAGCAAATTTGAATTTGAATCTATTTTTGAATTTGTTTGCTATACCACCGAACTTCTAATATCTACTCATACTTTTTAATACAAGTATGTAAGTATATCTATGTTATAAAATATTAAATTTAGGGGCTTACTAATAAAAAAGGAAAAATTTAAGTGACATAAAGAAAACCTAATAATAACTAAGTCAAAGAGCTGATTAAGTAAGAACGAGCTACTCGAACTGTTCTATATACAGGTCGGTTATTAAATGGCAGCTAGACCTAAACGGGCTGGGGTCTACTAGAACAAAATGTAATATAGGAGCAGCGTGCTCGGAAGTGTCCGCGAAAGGCGATAACGGTCCTGTTGGATATCGAACAGGGTTCCTACCAGTGTCGGATTAAGCTAGCATGGGGCCTGTAGCAAATTTTTTTAAGCGACCCCTAGAATTACTCGGTTCCTGTGATTGAATTAAAAAAATCAATCCAGTCAAATGATCCATACATAGACTAGTTTGGAATAGTAATATTTAAATATCGAATCATTTTGACATATTGTGTTCATATAGGAGTATACGCGTTTAAGGGCCCCTTTTTCTGCGGGGCCCTTAGCATTTACTACTGCGCTAATACTGCACTGGTTCCGACCGTAGGCATGTTGTTACTTAGATACGTGCCGTTATCCAAGCTAGTGCCCAGAATAAATTTAAACCCGATTAAATTTGTTCTAAGGCATTTCATTGACACGACTCTTACTACAATGTGATTCGATATAATTATCTTATTAATGATTAAAATATAAGTAACTAGGTGTATTTTAAAAATCAAATAATAAAGTTCTATAAGAAATTTATACGTAAATAAATTATGTATTATTAATCTAATTACTTTTTAAATGTTATTCTTATAATATTGTATTGGACTCGCCCAATTAACTAGTCATTGCCTTGCCTTTCCCATTATTTGGTGTCGGTGCAGTAATCTTCTTCCACTGATCTCTTTCGGCCGTCACATCTGATCATACTTTACTTTTATACATATTATCTTTCCCGCAATTAACTATATCACAGAAAACATTATAAGTTAAGAGAAGTTACTAAAATATTATTAAAGCCTATGATAAAACTCGAGTACCTACCTACCTAATGTAATGACTGCCATATGCCTGAATTCAAAAGAAAGAATTCAAATGTTAGTTTATACGTAAATTAACGAAAATATCTACGAATTGTAAAAAAGTTGAAGCATTATTTTTCTATAAATATAAAGCAATTATGAATAAGTAAATCTGAATACACAATCGTTGTTAGTAAATTGAAATTCTCAGACATTCGATCGATGCATCGATCAATCGTACTGAACTACAGAAATCTTGCAATATTCGAATATCAATAAATATCTAGAGTGCATTGACCCGTATTAATGGCTCACCGTTCGCCGATGGCAAGGCCGAGCAAGGCCGTTATGCTATCGAACATAACTATAAACTATTAATACTTCGTTATACTAATCCCATAGAACAAACTATATTAAATTAAATTAATCCTAACGTGCAATTACCGACCGCACACAACATGCTTTTCTTATTAATTTTATAACGAGTTTGCCTTGCGTACATGATTTTCTAACGCGAACTTGGAGAACGGATGAAGGAGATTATTAGTAACGGGAACATATGGCGTCTGTCGTCGATATTTACATTTTTCTAATTTCAAATTTAAATTTTCAAAGATTTAAAATCTTTGTAAAAAACAAACATGCGATAAAGACTGAACGTAGGTTTCATTCCCAACAGTAATCTAGATAGCACTTCACTTTAAGCTCCACGCGGTCTACCCTGGAAACCAATATGCATAATTCAAGATGAGTCCGCCACGATGAACTAACGGTTATATCATCCTCATCCTCTCATTGTTCTTCACTGTTGCTGCGCCAACGTATACCGTTAGAGCAGGCCAGTACACATTTCCCTATTTCTCCATACAAAAAATATGTGAACTAAGAAGCGACGCAAATTAAATTGGTGTCTGTTTGCAGGTTCCATCTCGCGTTCCATATCCATCGTTATTCAATTATTGCCGAATTAGGGCTGGACCAAGACGAAACCGATCTCACGGACGTAACAAAAAACCCATTCAATCTGTACATGATCACCGTTATAAAATCACGCACGAGCGCGGCTACCACCGTCAGCATTCGACACCTACAACAAAGCCTAGCCGGCGCTTTGATAGTTTTTGCATTGAAATATAGGGGACTATTGTCATGATTCAGCATGTTCTACCATTGTAAATATAACTAACGAAATTATTGAAACGTATCATCAAATAACGTCGGCTATAGTATAAATAAATAACAAATGGGATGCTAAACGGTTCGTGATAAACGGTTGCAACGTGCGCCTATTAACTTTTGATACTACCCATCAGAACTACATTTTATATTCAATAAGTACATAATATTACACCTAAGTTAGCGTAATAGCATTTGTAAAGAAGACTACAAGTAGCTTATTATTAATAGTCAAACATTATATATTTATTTATGTCATCAGAAACACTAGTAGATTATTTAAGAAGTACTTATATTACAATATATAACAAAATAAAACTACATATAACTGATCAAGATTGATTGAGAAAGTTAGTGTAATGCTTTATGCATTACACTAACTTTCAGCTATATGATAACAAATTGCTAAATAGAGATTTTTATTTACATAATCATACGTTATAAGAAATGCTAAATCTAAAAACTGAACTATCATAAGTTAATCAAATCTAACTAGTAGGCAAGTCTTACTGTTACGTAAACATCATAACTACATTTATACATTATGAACGGGGAAATGCAGAATTGAATTTCATAGTAACGGTTTTAAAAGGGAAATATCTGCCTACTTTATTATCTGTAAGTACCATGAACCTCGTATAGCGAAGGCAACAGTTAGATAGAAATCTAAACTATATACTCGTAGTCGTAGAAGACTAGCGTAATGGGGTAGCAACTAACGCGTTATTGCGGAACCAAGATGGTGGACCCATTGTGTGAAGACAAGAGTTTTAAATAAATTATACAGCATTTTCATAAAATAAATCCAAATTATGAATTCACAATTTGGAATAAACTACTTCAAAATACTACTTTCATTGATTGGTCTACCGTACGAATTTATCATAATTTTGATACACAAAATTTCAATCATAAACCTTATTTGAATAGCAATGATATAATTTACTTTTCTCTCAATGTACAGACAAAAAGCTATAAAGACAAACCTAAAAATTAAAAAACAAATGTGCCTGATAGTTGTTTATGATTAATTTCATATCTATGATATTTAATATTCGTACACTGAGTTCTGGATGTTGAGACTAATATGGTGTGCTATTCTAATTTTATAATTACACGTCTATATATAAAAACTTTATGGTAAAAAATTAAGATATACTAATCAGAAGATTTAATTATGAAAAGTCAATAAACGCCTTAAGATCTTTTGATGGCATGTTACTAAATTGTCGTGGCCGGTAACAAGTTCTCGAACTGCGAATCGATTGTGCATAGATCGAAGTTCACGATCCTGTTGTGATCGATGAGTTCTCGATTAAGGCACATCGACCCTTCTGACCCTGACCCCGGTACAGAACGTCGATATAATATCCATATAATTCCACGTCTTGTTCTAAGCACGATTTACATAACTCAAACATTTTAGAGTCCTAAAATGAATTACAAACCAGATTATAATTTCATCATGCTTATTTATCTGCCTGTCAGTATGTCACAGTATCAAATTCCTCTTTATACCATTTCATTATTATCGATTACATACCAATGAATGACAAATGTAGTTTAGACAAATAGCGACATATTTTTAATAAGTAGGTGTCTCCCCAAAATATGCCTGTTACTTATAAGATATAATGTGTAAGCATATAAAAATTAAATTAAATTATTATCATAATACGCAATCAACTAGGCTGATACTCGTATTGACTAGTGTGAAATGCAGTTGAACTGATTCATTCCAGTCTACTGTGATTTTCTGTACCATAAAAAAACTATAAATACGAATTTTGTCTTAAACTTCACTTAAATAAATTTAATGTTGTTTAGACTCCATGAAAATATTAAAAAATAAATATAAATATATATTTTTAATCAATCGACAAAAGAAACGTTTTAGTATTACATTAGGAATTTATACAGACATGATCTGACGTTTACCCATATACACAGAACTCACATTAGGAGTGGAATTTAAAAAATATTCATTTTATATCTAATCTATCTGTGTTGTGAATAATAATTGTTAATCTCTATTCTTGGTAATTCCAGTTTTTACTTGCGTGTTCTATAAATGTTAACGGTATGGTTTACAACTACCTACGCGTAAATAACTTTTTGTTATATTATGCCAGCATTATTTTTAAATTTCTAATATGTACAGTGCGAAAAAACCTGTGCAGATAGACACTATACAAGAAAAGTTCTCACGACGTCGAGGTGAGAAACTTGAATTACTCATGTAACAATTAACGTTCGTTCTAACTTGTCGGTAATGGTGTTATTATAAAGATTTATATCGCTCTATAGCTTTTAAGTCACTTTTAATTGATTCATTCAGTATCACGTGGTATTACAAAAATTATATAACGAGGCAAATATATAATATATAATGCAAAACGAGGATTCTATAGGTTTTAAAACTTTAGTCTATATAGTATTGTATCATTAAAATCTCAAATGAATCGTAATCCATGTCCATTCATAAAGAAGTTTTTGATAGTTAATTTTTCAAAATCTATCAAAATCTATCTATTCAATTTATAATAGCACTTTCTTACTATAAAAATAATGAGTTTAACGTTAAGGCAATGATGACAAGCTGAGCTTATCATCCATATTGATACACTTATAATGACTTACTAATATAGGTATGAAAATTGTATCAATTAAATAATGTCCTATAATTCCTATCAATTATATGAAAATACAGTACGGTGCCGTAGACACGAACGTCTTCAAGTTTCACATACTCCTATTTACGAACTTGAAATTCACTCGGGCTTATTTTCTGCTCTCATAACGAATGCTCCATAAACGACAATTTTGCTTCATTAGATAATAACATCAAACCACGGCGTTAATGGCAGGCCAGTAACAGTACTGCGTTGCGATGATTGCTGCCGTGACAAAAACGGCGCGGCGATGCGCATACGTCGCAAATGCGTTACGTGGTTACTTGTTACCACACCCGAGTTACCATGCCGACTGTCATTCCATCTCAAATGCCGGCACGTAACCAGATATAAGGACAGTAAAATGCCCACTGTGACATACGACTCCATAAAACAGAATTAGATTTGAAAATAGATAGTTAAACAATTTGTGACATAGTTTAGTTTCTCGTTTACGTAAAATAATATACTTATATGTTCATATACACCACATAATTAGTGCAAAACTATTTTTTTTTAATATTTTTAAATGACCTCACGAGGTAGATATACGAATTTCCTTTTAAATATTATGAATTCATTTATCATTTCAGTCATCGTCTATTCTCATAACTAAATTATGTATGAGAAAACCTATTATTAAGCGATTTAGTCCACGTAATTGAACCCAAAATGAATGATTATATTAGAATTACCTATTTGATTTTTTTGTTTTTGTTTTATTCCAATCGGTTTATAAATGGAAATATTATATGAGTTAAGTTAGTAGAGGGGTCAACTAGCACTTGAATACATTAATTTCAAATATATTCAGAAACATTAATACCATACTTATACAAAACATAACACTAAATCAAGATACAAAGAATTCTTAACTGATTTATGTACACTAACAAGTCAATTACTATTTCCGTATATTGTTAGACTATACAATTTACATATTATGGTTGTACAAATCCAAGAAGCGAATCTGCTAAAGACACTTAAGTAATAATTGTTTACATTTCACCGCGTCTTTAATCTCGAAGGTTAATGCACGACTCAGAACCCGTAACAGCACTGTCCTAGAATCTATTATTATAAGCTAATTGTAGTCCATTATGAGTGTGATTAGCAAAACGGAATCATTTGAGTAAAAATTCATTGTTGTAATTAAATTAGTATAAATAACTATCGCTATTTACTTTTGTACGAAATGTCTGGAGTATCGAATTAATTTTGCAACTACTCGAAAAAACACATAAGAGATGGCCTTGAATTGGTTACTAATTGTCGAAATAAACTAAACAAACTATACACAAACTACATGGAATTTTTTTTTGGAAAGACTTATAACAACATTCTCGTTTGTATATTAAAACGGTTTAAGACCACGCTACTAAGTACACAAAACAGTAGCTCATTCGGATACTAATATAACGTGTATTAAAAAATAGATTACAAAGTTTCAAATGGAAAGACGTACCTATAATGAAAGTTAAATAAAAACTATTTTTATAGCTACATAAAAGCTTTTAAAACCAATCAAATCAAATACGGAGCAATTCTAAGAAATAAAACAAAAACATTATCAAATAAAAAACCTATGACACTTATCTGATATTTTTACCTAAAATAATAATTGAAAAAAATACTCACTTTCACAGAAGTTCTCGAAATATTTTCCGATTGGTTCTCCATCATCGATCAATGGTCTCTCGGTGTTCAAGTACGCCGATGGACCGTCAGGCAAAGTGTGGTGGTCTAAATGATAGAGTCGACAGTTGTATGTGGTAGAGTGAGGAGCTCCGAGATACAAGTATGATCGACATAAAAACTCTGATTCGATCTCACAAGCGAGCCGACAGCCACCTTCCGATGTTACCTGTATAGGAAAGATTTATAGCATTATAAAAAGTGACCAAGTGCGGGTAGAACTGGAGTTGCAAGGGCTCAGTGACACTTCAAGTTAAACTAAAGAAATAACATCCAGATATAATTATCTAAAGACCCGTCCCGGCTTCGCACGGTCGCTTATTGCAGGTGTCTCTAATTTTATGAAATATTCTATAATTAATTAGACACATTAATTAGTTACGTTGTGTAAGTGGATTAAATTTTAAAAATTGGTTATATAGTTTTACTGTTTATTCAGTAGACAAAAAAATTCTGATAGCTCGTATTAATATTAACATGAAAAAAGTAAGAAAATAGTTCGTACGATTTATTCCTTCCAAAACTTTTGGTTGAATATAGTACGTGCATTGCAGTACTCACCCCACTATTTTTATTGACATTTCAAACATGCATGAACTAAACTACACGAATAATAATTTGTATGTATTCTCTCCAATTTTATTGTATAGCAATCAAATTAACCACTTTGTGTTGTGAATAATATATGTAAACTAGTATAAATTACCTGCAATTCCTTGTCGGTGTAATAGTGTAAACCTGCGTACTGTGCAACTTTATCCTCAGCGACACCGACGCGAGGTGCTGTGAACACTCGCTGCCCCTTGCACGCTTGTGTCGCCTTCAGGCACAAATTCTGGACCACACACATTCACAATCAGCTAAAATAACTCACAACAACAGTAATAACGCTAACTGACATGTTTATTTTACAATCCGACTCTAGTATTCTGTAGTGGAGTTGTTAACATTTACCGAGAATAAGCGTTAGGATACGCCATAGAATTATGTGAAAGATAACAAGAAATCTATGTTATAATATGACACTTGAAGCAACACACATGGAGAGGGTGACCCCAAATTCAGGTAGATGCTGTCATAGTTTACGACGATAGACCGAAATAACCTGATTTTATCCTCATCCCTTTCCTAATCCTCGTAAATATTATATATTGTATCCTAAATATTATATGTTGAAGGGATGTCACTAAACGTCCCGTCAACCTATAATATTAGCGCAAGAGGCATCACCGTCTCATGGTCATACATAAATATGGAAATATATAATGGATGGAAAACCTACAATCTGAATGGGTTATCACGATCAGGTAATCATTAAAAATTATAATGCATATTTGATTATTAAATATCTTTTTAGATATCTTGCGTATATATACGTTCTAGTAGTACTAGCATACATGGCACACGTCCAGTCCGAAAAAATAAACTCACCTACCGTGTTCAATTGAGTTTTCTTTAAATCTAGGTACCCATTAACATATTGACATCCATTTAGATGGAGTTTGGTGACAGACAGAAGAATTATATATATTAAAATAAGTAGGTATATTAATATTAAATGAAAATATAGTTACCTCAAAGTAGTCAGTACCAGGAGTGTCGACAAGCTGCACGAAATGTTGACCCGTACGCCTGTCGGAGTCACTAAGCGCACATCTCATGCTTCCATACTCATATTCTGCCGACCGACACGCGTACCGTTTCTGTACGAATAAAATAAATGTTAAATACAAATTCTCATGAAAATTATAGTAATATAGGATATATTATTATCATTTTTATTACTGTTCTCCCATGTGGAGTAGTTTGAGGGATTTTTAACTTGACGTCATAGTGAACGCAATTGTGGACATGCCTATAGTTATTCTACCACCGTCTGTCTTATTAAGTTTAATATGTTATTAGCATTAACTTCCTTTATCGGAGAGTTAATCAGAAATATTAATTGACATATAGTTTTTTGGAGACGACAAGATTTGGTCTCAATATCTTTCCGCAGAGTTTCGATGCGCACGTAATACATATGAACATCGTTCACAAATCATACTCAATCATAATCATTATGCATTTATGCATATTGCATGGTACTCTTCGCTAAACTGACATAATGCCACTACCGTTTCAAAACGCACACTAATGTCTATTTACAGCACATCATAATCTCATAGATCTAGTGTAAAACGATAGTAAATATCCACCGTTTAGATAAAAATCTAGACTTTTCTAACGGACTTCAAATATTGCCCCTTTGTCTACATAGTTATCCGGACGTAATAAACATGCCCCTATCATTTTACCTATATCTTGAATAGCACTACCAACTAGGGCGAAACCATAAAATATAAATTGAATAGATAAACGGTAAATTACATTGCGGAGGCGACGGTACCATGGTGTCAGCTAGGCAATAGTTATAACTGCATGGAAGACGAAATAGCTAACTGATACCTGCATTTGACAACGCTGTCTTTGTTAAATTACTATCATACTTAAGTAATATTCTGTGGTAAAGATTGGTGAATAATTTCATTTAGATTAAGGAACCTTGAAACTAGTAATAGGTTTACATATTCATATTTCTACTAGGTACGTTACAGAAAGTAATAATATAATAATTAAATGTAAATTATATCAATATAATTTACAAAAAGAAACTTCGCCAAGTATTGAATTAAATGATTATTTTAATATTTGTCGGCTTTTTGTTTTGCCATCACAATACCTATTGTATTGAACTTTTGCCTACCCCTATCGTCGTAGTACATTCATACAGACGAACCCAAATACGTCATGATCTAATGATAAAGTATCATGACTATAAACAAATTCAAAATTATAACCGTCCAGTAGCTAGGTATATTGAAAACATTTTGAGGGTTTGAGATATTAGAGGTATAAATTTGTCAACATAATATATTTATATTATACTAGCTTTTGCCCGCGGCTTCGCTCGCGTTAATTTATCCCCTTGGAGGTAGAATTAATCAAAATCCTTTCTTAGCGGATGCCTACGTCATAACATCTACCTGCATGCCAAATTTCAGCCCGATCCGACCAGTGGTTTGGACTGTGCGTTGATAGATCACTATGTCAGCCACCTTTGATTTATATATATTTAGACTATAAAATACCTCATTAAGACAAGCAGCAAGGCAGGCCTCCTTGGTGGAAGTGTAAATTATGGTGTTGTCAAGACCTCGCAGAGCTTTACCAGGTACTCGTTCGAATGCCCAAGGTCGAAGGCATACACTTTCAGTCCTTACTTGAAGTTTTACCATGTAATAGGTATTCGCAGCACGCTGTCACAAAAAAAAAATAGCATCACAAACCTACAATGTTTAAAAACAATATAGAAAATAGTTTATTGCTAAATACATAATAATCGTTTTCTTTTTCACTGTCATTGACTTTATAAGTAATTGACTCACATGTGCAGCTTTAATGATCGCGAAATCGAAAGTTGTTGCCATTATTCATAAATGGACCATTTAAAATGCGAGTATTTCATTTCGTTACTATTTTACATGACTTACACGGTAAGATAATGTGGACTCTTAATTTCATTATAACATATGTAACATTATAAGTGTTTTTAAACAGTTATAAAAAGAAAACGTCTTTTTGCATTTCTATGAGATAGGTGGTCGATATAATATAAATTGTTACTCCAATCTCTGCTTTACCATAGTACTTGGCAATATTAATAAACCGGTAGTTCCTCTCATACATAATATTTATTTTACTATTGAACTGTCCTATGAAGTTCAAGATAAGTTAACACGTCTATACTAAGATACAGGTTATTTTAGGTACACCCATTTTCACCATTTCGCGCACGCAATGTGAAATATTACTTACTTACTTATATCTTCAACAAATCATTAAACATTATTATTGGTAATATATAATCATGCACTACTTTATTTTGTACTTTATGATACTAGTAATAAGACTAGAAATGAACGAGCACTTAACTCTAGTCACAGATGAAAATTATATATATTCTCACGACGGTAATCATATAAAAGATAATCTAAATCGACCGTTGCCATTGTGGTGAAAGTAGCGTATGATTTACTCACATAAAAGATTTTCTATAGAAGTACGAAATTTTAAATGCACTTTATTTTTTTTTATCACCTGGACTCAGCATCATTATTTGGAGTCTGCACAGTATGGTTTCCTATTTCACAATTAAAAAAGCTCTTACCTAAAAGAATGTTAAAAAATAAATGCATCAAGCAATTTACTGCAACAGTTTATTTTTGTCTATTATGCACCCTGTGATTTAGCCAAGTAGAGATTAGTAATCTGTGGTAATACCTGCGGCGTGGCCATAGGGTTGTTCGCTTGCGTGTCATTTTGCAGCAAACAGCGCGTCTCCTGCACTGGCGTCAGTGGGTTCAACACGAAACTGTAAACAATATTTTTTACTTCAGAGCACATTTTTTGTTAGTAAGGAATGGTGCACCCGTCTCCACTAATATGGATTCCACTGATATGGTACCTCTGGTGGGACATCAGGAGGATGATAATATGAGGTCAAAGTCAAGTTATAGTGGACAATTCACCATAAATTAACAACAATAGTTTCTATAGAATACTAATATTATACATTGCTAGCAATAGAACAATCATTCCTTATTACAGACACTCTCATCCTGGTTTATTACCAATAGTATAAAGTAGGTACTACCACATATTAATACGCGTCATTTTTTAACTCTTTTAAAGAATAAGTATAAGCTGTACCATTTCTTTATACCAAGTGAATTTTTAATTCCGTTCTAATCACTTGTTTCTTTACTATAGTCTATAGACAGATAACTGTTCATGTAGTAATAGCTATTCTATGCTGGAGATTACGTCGGGTAATAGGCATATAGATATAAATAGACATCCACTAGAGTTCTCATTAGTTGGCTAACGTATTCCTCACGACCGTGATTATCTTAGCACTTAAAATTACTTAATCTGCAATGTGCAGACTAGACTCGGTAACAATGGCGCCGTATTCTGCAGGGATTGAATAACAATTACCTTCATTACTTATTTTACTTATTTATCTAAATAATTGGAAGATTCTTTTTTTCAGTTCGTATTATGGTTTAAAGTTATGCCTAAGTTTAGGGGTTTTATGGACTCTTTGTACGTAGTACTAAATTTTTGATCTGTTTAGGATTTTTATCTTTTTCGATATCGCTTAGCCTTAGTATAAGTAATGTACATAACAGTAACTACTTTTTACAGTAAAATCAACAAGTTATTGACAATCCCATCATAATCGCTATAATTCTTGATCTCTTTTTTGTTTATGTCTCAATAGACAGCATTCGTCTTCATCTGCAACCTGTAGTTCTATTTCATACAAAATGTTATTTCAAAATAACATTTTCTCAAATAGATATATTTCTCAACAGTACCTAATTTGTCCAACCACATACTACAGGTAGGCATTTACGTTACATTGTATTACGTCAACATTTCTTCACATGACAACTAAATGATAAATCATGATATAGCTCGTTACTGTCATAATATCCAACCGGCAAGCTACCATGAAGTACGTAGATAGGACATTGCACCAGGAAGTGAACTGCAGATAGACGGCAGTGCGGAATCAACAGTAGGTAATTAGATACGATACCGCATCCACCTTTACCACTAGACTACTAAAACGTATCTCAAGTAATAACCCTTTTAGTTTAAGTATTCAACAAAGAGCGTGCTTCATAACCGGCGAAAATATATCAACAGCGCTAATAAAACGTAATCATGAGGTGTTATTAGGTGTATAAAATTTTAACTATTTCATTATTACTGAAGACCTTCCTTCTATAATATATGAAGCATCTTCCTAGAAGTATAATGCACATAACTTATATCGTTTAATTTTTTACTTTGATTTCATATAGATAAAAACAATATCAGCAATCTCAAGTGCAATATAAGTTTTGTGTAAAACAAAAGAACGTCTGACGTAGATATAAACATTTGCAAAAGCTTAGACTACGAGGTCATTGACCGAGACACTGAATGGCTCATTATTCCTTACTGCTGTCTAATTAATGTGCCAACATAACATTTTACTTTAATAATCAAGGACGGTAATAGTTGTTTAACGCCGCCGTTCCTAACGTTACTGCAGCAATCAGACGTGTTAATTGCAAAGAAAAATGAAATGTAATAAATAAATAGCACTCGCTATTTGGTTCATAGTCCAGACTTAATTCTCTATAGGTACTAATTATACTAACAAAATAACAACGGTAAAAGATATATAAAGCTACCCCAATTAAGATGAGATGCTAACGACATAGCTCTATCTTATCTTCTGTCAATTGAATGATATGCAAGTAGTGTATTACTATCACGGGATAACATACATTATGATATAAAATTATTAAAAACAAGTCAGCCCATGTTTAATAAAGGATCTGTGATCGTCGTTGAACATAACTATAACCGAGACCATGAAACAAAATCTAAAGTAGTTATATCGTGTACCTAAGTGTTAGCGTACACAAAATCCGTTAAAATACAAATGTTTGTTTAAAATGTAAACTCATTCTATTTGCTTGCTTGTTTTTAGGTAACTTTTTAACAGTAACATAAATATTAAAATAAAATAATAGCAAAATACATTAGTGAACAATAAGTTTTACAAAAGAGACAATTGTAAGAATCGAATTTGCAATTATTTAGTCTAAGGGAAGATGTAAGAAATATTCCAAAGTTAAACGGTTCATCATCATTCATCCAACGTTGGTTTTCTTAGTCTAAAGATATAATCATTTACAGTAGCAATGAAACTACTATCAATAAGAGTGTACCGATGCACTTGCATTAATTCCATTAAACTGTCACTAAACGCAATGCGTTATAACCACCTACTTAGCTTGCACCAGATAACGGAGCTACGGTTTACCGTTCATCGAGATATTTCGTATTTTATTTATACTCAAGGGTATTTTTAATATTCCACTTAAACAGATTTACAGTTTATATCTTGATGGAGATATTATCAGTAATAGCGCGAAAGTGTCTCAATTCTTTCTCTTCTCTGTCGTTATAGACTTATAATTTATTATTCATTTTTTAACTACTACTACTCTGTCACCATCTGAATAATCTGCTTTCTGATGATATCTAAATATAACTTTCAATTTTACGGTTATCTTTACAAATGTTTATTGTAATATTCTTACTAATATAAACGTTGTAATGATGTTTATATGCAAACATATTTGTTATTCTAGTACGCTTTAATCATTGAATTTGTCACTTAGTACAGACATCTTTCTTTATATATTTACTTAGAAAATACATAACCGGTACATCAATATGTCGAAACACCTGTAAACACAAATAAAAATAATGTATCCACATAGCCCTTCGACTAATGACATCGAATTTCGATTAGACTTCACAACTGGCATAATAAATCTTTCGAACCGTGTTATGCCATTAAACCCGTGATTAAAAGGGAGATGGGCAGACTTGATGCGAACTGATTTCTGATACACATAACGTAGATATGAAACCTCAATTTGTACACTGCATTAATCATACGAAGTACAAATGCACTGACAAACGCGCCGTAGGCGAACATAAAAAGTTCTGCAATTACATACCTAGATATGTATCTACGGCAGCTTAAGGTATCGACAACTTTGGATCACTCTACTAAGCAATGCAGAGAGGTTTATAAAAATAGCAACTAATATTTCAACAGAATGTGGCTTTTTTGAAGTGTAATTTCTTAGATATGTTTTTAATTGTATATGTACTATTTATTTAAATGAAAAATCCATAAATTACTCAACGTAGTTATTAGTTTTTTTAACGTACCTACTTACACTTACTTACTTTATACGTTTCTTTTGTGGGTACAAGTGCTAACACAGAATATGAGAGTAAGGCCTAAGACGTAAGGCGTTTTTTTCTTAACAACATTTTAAGTATTTATTTAAATTTTAACTATTTTTAAAAACACTTATCATCATATCTATCAATAGATATGTATACATACATCCAATGACCAAATAATAAACCTTACCACACTCTTTATAAGTGCTCAGAATATATATTTAAACAAATGTTACTTTTTTCCGAATAATTGTAATATATGGGTTTAATATAATTTAGAAGGAGGTTAAAGTAATTTAATACCATAAGTTCGACACCTACAATATAAGAAAGGGAGAACCTCAATAGCAGGAAATGAATGAAATGATATACGTTTTGTGACCTCAACAATCACATATCTATTACTTTATTACATTTCACCATTTCTGTTATTACCATAGATAGTCCACGGTTATTAATGAAACAACTGTCCCACTTTTCACTACTATATCGTATGCAGTATTAGAAAGAGTAATCCATCCATTTCACTTTCATATAAAAAGGTGTGAATCTTATTTGCAATTGAGAATTGTATTATTTAGCTTACTATTTTAAATAACTAGATATATAGATAAAATATTATTTATCTGCATTGCTGACATGAATAGGAATAAGTAAAAATAATTATACAAACTACAAGAATAATAATATTATTATTATATAAGATTTTTTTACTAGATATTAATAGAACTTGAGTTATTTTTTCTGGTAGTATTTATTGTTAAAGGGATATTTATTTATTATTAGTCACATTCTAGATTCGTAATATAAGTACGAATGGTGCCTCGCTTAATCAACAAAAGCAGTTATTTAACATTTTCTTAGACGGGTATTAAAACCACATAACCAACGAAGCTTTATTATATAAACCTATCTACATTTATGTCTACTACAATCATTAAATAATCATATATCCATAATCCATTTCCCTCAAATAACGACTATTCACATATAAAATAATAATGATGCAATAAATGAAGTAGATTAGAAACGAGAGTATCAAGAAATGTGCAGTTATAGAGCTATTTACTATGGCAATCAAGAACAGATCTGCTATTTATGATTATTACGATATTGGTCAAGTGAGACATGACTCGGAATCATCAGCAGCTCTGCCTATTGCCGTTATCTGGCGCCTACACTTCACATCAATCACAGCACAGTAACGGCTTATAGGGCCCGAAATTCACGACGGCTTTAACAAAAAGGGCTCGTGATGAAGCAAGAATGTAAAAAGACATAACGACAAATTGATAATAATGTTCTATTATAATTGAAGTCAATACAAAACTGCTAAATAAGTTGAAATAAAATGAAGCCCAGGTTTTGTGATGCTGTGTTTTAATACTGTCCTGATAACAAAAACATTTAGATACATGCATTGCATAGACAGGTCGATTTTTCAGGTATCTTATTTTGAACACTCTTGCACAAAGAGTAGTAAACTTGAAAGTATAAATATTCTTTCAATTTTAATTTTCCAAAAAGATTATACTAACCGCGGACGTCTAAAACTCTTATCAACAGCGCCACCATATCTACTGATTTACATTTCTAATTCCTTAAACCCTTAAAATATCAAAACATTTTAATGTTTTTTTTATTTTATGAAACGAATTTATATCTCTAATATAATATTGTTATTAATAACGCCGAACATCTTTATGACGCGGCATAAGCTTGAATGAAACTTCAATTTCATACTTTAATTTCTCAAATCACCAAGCTGCGAAAACTGTGAAGTACATCGTAAATCATAACCTACGCATTTCATCGGGCTCTCTAAATAATTTTACATGTTTTGATCGTAATATTAACGATCAGTATTTCCAAGCAACGGAAGGTTTCAATGAAATTTTTATTACGCATTTATCTCTTTCAAAAATACATATTAGATGTATGATTATAAGACATTTTTCTACATACTTACAAGTATTATATATATGTTCTAGTTTATCCCTATTTGATTTTAAATATCTTAAAATAAAACATTTGACACCTGTCATTTGTCTTCATTACTTAATAGGTACTCAACATATCTTCTAAAATGTACAAAAAAAATATTGCATGCAAAAGAACTCTGATTATATAAATCGGTTGAACATTTCAAATGTAGTTTAAAATAAATACCTTCATAATATTATTAAAATAGGATCTCGAATGGGGATTCGAAATCCTCCAACGTATAAATAGAAAAATTAATCTGAATTTCATTTTTTTTAAATAATGAACAAAATAATAACTTATCCCTGAAACAATTCATAACAAACAATCATTACATCTACTCTTAAAAATATTAAATTCATTTTCTTTATTTAGAACGGAATAATTATTTTTTCATTATACGAAAAGAATTTAGAATTCAACAGTTCATTTTAAAATATTATAAATAATTCTTATAAATATAAGACACGTCATTATTTTATGTTATCGTAATTCAGACAGTTCATCTTCAGATAACAACGTGCACAATTCTGATGGGCATTCGAAACATTCCGTGCGTGATTTTATTGACTTCTGCAATGTCGGAACGGTATTCCGGCGACCTTCCAAGCTTCAAACATCGAACGTTCGGTGGCACCGATGCTTTGGACAGTTACCAATTGTTATTATCGCATCCGTCCCATTCTTTAGTCAGATCGATATTTCTTTGGATAGTTCGCTTCGATATACATACTCATGTTAATACAATGCTAGATTAAAAGCGCGGGAAAGTTCCGTCTCTTCTAATTGAATACCGAATTGATTTTCGATCGATCCCGTTCAAATTGATTTCGAGAAATCTAACAAGCCATATAATACTGTTACACGCCTCACTTCAGTTTAATGCAATTAGATTTTTTGCATTACACGGCAACAGCTATAATAATGACTGCTTGCACAATGAGAAAAACGGGTGAGTCATATTTTCTGATAGTCGTATATCATCAGCATCACAATATATCTATAGATATCCACTAAATGGCGCCACTCCGTTGATTAGTTGCTCGTGCTATTGTTCTAATTCTAAACTAAACCTTTGAAAAACTTTATCATTTTGTATTTAGATTGTATTATTATTATACGACTATGTATTTCTATTTACTATCTTTGCTATGCAAGTATTACAAAAAAAATCGTATCTAAGTATTTATATCACTTATCTAGTACACATAACACACATGTTATGGGTACTAGATACCTCTGCTTCCCTTATCACTAAATGGCACTATATGAATTGTTCAGGGAAATTATTATTATTTCTTATTTAACAACTCTTTGTACCAAAAGGAATAAGGCTTGACTTGATATATGTATTTCAAAATAAAAAAATATATATCGAATTTAAAAATTATAGATCCGTTTATTTGGCGCAAAGCAGTCTCACGACGCTAGACTGGTATGGAAGGACAACAACAATAAATTAAATAATGCGTTTGAAACCGCCAATAGTCATGAAACTATTGGCGTGCTTGAAAATAGTCCATCCAGCAATAATCTATTGAAAGACGTATGCGATCACTTTTACTGTTATCCAATTTGGAGCGCGGCGAGGTCGGTTTCCGCTTTTACACGGTTTGTGGCCAGCGGTTCGAGACACATTGTTATTAGCCAAGAGCGTGTCATTGGAATGCCTGAACTGCGGAGGACGTGTGGCAGACTGACACAAATCCAGCCGACCTTAACACAAGTGAACCAGACTATTCGAAGTAATATGAAAAGTTGAGTAGAAATTTCGTAGGTGCTGTCTATAGCAATCGGCAGTTTTGTTTTACCTAACAATGAGAATCTTGATCAACAACTATGGGGAAATATGTGAAACGTTTAATTTTTTCGTCACTTTTTTCTTTATGTAATTGAATGTCAAATTACTGACGGCCCACTTGATGGTACGTGGTAAGCGTCGCCTATACACATGTGACGTTCTTGATAGCGCTCATGCATTGCCATTCCGGAGGGCTATCCGGGAGGATACATATCATTCCTCGTATCCTGTAATTTCACTGCCTTGTCTCAACTGCCTTCAATGACAGTGTTTCACTGTTACAAAAGCACGCAGCTTGACAACTGAAATATGTAAGACTGGGACACCCATTCACACGAGTTTTACAAAATCTACCTCTTTTTCTTACTGACTTCACAAAGTTAGTTCTAAGTAAATCTATCTATACATAATTATAATAAGAATTGTAGGAACTTTTGATTTTAGACCGCTATTTAGTAAAATATTTTTATTTGAAGAAGATAATCTAATGTAATATAATAAAACCTTATGTATGTGGTAATTGTAGTAGGAAGTCGAAATAAATGACTTTAATTACAATTTCTTGGTATGTGTATATTTCCTTTTTTACCTTGTATATTAGATTCACCATGTAGACAATAAATAGAAGAGTATAATTATATTCCATTCATTCTAGTCTGTTCAAAAGTCATTATCGAGTCCAGATTATTAATCATAAAATAATATACGACTTAAAAATAAGCAGCGCATATTTCATGATCGTTTAATTCCAGAACGTCAACTTCTAACTTTGCTCAATTGACTTGACAATGATTTAAATACCATCAGTGAATCTCACAATACAAGACAATATTGTGCATCGTATCCGATTAAGTGCCCCTCCTGCCCCCTGAATTAGTGAGTCTTCACGTCAATCGAATTTCTTATCTACAATATCTGGGTCAGGAACATCGTGATCCAAGTTGGATACGACACGTTGATTTTTATTTTGTTCGTGATCAATCAGAGAATGACGAATCAGTCTTTAACTGGTATGAGTAGATATTCGTTGTACAATGTGAAATTTAATTCAGTAGGTCATTTGACCCACTAGATAAATTTCACAGAAAAAAAAAATACATTGAATATCTGACGAGATTGTCTAAATTGTATAGCTTTGTTATATACAATTGAATTGTCTAGAATATTATTATATCGATATTGTATTTTCTTTATAAGCTAGTTATATTTCTAAGATGTGTCCTAATTAGTAGTCCTACTAATATTAGTCCTCCAATTCGTTGCCTGATAGCTTATACTTTGAGTCAAGGCTACTATTTATAGCAAGTCCCGAATGATATTTAATTTTACATATTACATATACACATGATTTAAGATGTAAAATTAAGAACAACAGTAGAAATAAATATTAATTTAGATTCTGTGAATCCCGACCTGAAAGTTACTGATTTTATGTAATATGATTTTTGTATGGATTCAAAGAATTATAGATATATTAGAAAAAAATATAATGATATCTAGTAACTGACAATTCGAAGGATTGCCAGCGGAATTGCATATTTTGCGTAGACGCGTTGAACGTCAAGAATTTGGTTTGTGTTATACCAATTTTGGGTTCGTACATAGTAATTGTTTATATTGTAAATTCTCTTATTTAATAATTCCAATTTTAATATAATCAAAGAAATATATACGTATACCTATAGTTATATTTAATCCATATATCATTTTATTTGCCAAATTAAATCGCTTTCTAGTAACTCTGCACTCCTAAAGGTTGGCTAGTAGAATATGCTATAACATTTTAAGCCTATTGTACAAAATTTCAATGAAGTTTAAAAAAAACAACTATATGTACATACTATATATATTTCTTTGACATTGTACCTATGCCATAGCCACACTATACTATAGAATATACCTGAATGAAGCAGCCTGGCAGTCTGGTTCCTCACGGCACCATCCTTGACACTCATAGAGCGATAAATTACGCACAGTGTAGTACGCTGTACCAGAGAAATCCACATCAGTCAATTTCTCAAAAGCTATCCGACCTAGAAAAAAAAACTTTATTAAATAAAAACAATTTGAACATTAATTGAGAGTCAGTAAATGATAATGATCTAGTAAGTTTGATTATAAGTTACACACTAGTATACACATTAATCTAATAATGACGACATGTTTTCTATTGTTATAGACCATGGTTAACATTTTCCATCAGGTAGGCCATAACATTGTTTGTCATTTTCGATACAAAAAATATTGAATTCTTTATTTCAGATTTTGACATTTAGTACACATTACTAATATATTTAGTGGCGTCTTAACATTAACAGTTTTATGATAAATAAGGTATTTCCTCGACATTTCGGCTAGGTTGCGCTAGCCGTGGTCATGAGCTGACTGGAGTATAGCGATGTCGGTAGGTGTCAGCAGTTAGTACAACTACTATCTTTAGATTCTTGTAATATTTAAATTATAAATGAAGTAACTTTTTATTTAAAGTATGAATCTATACGTACTTAAAACAAATGAGGACTGCAGAAGGACCAGCGCTATCCGCGCCAGCCGCAGCGCCTCTCCCCTCATGCCGGCACTCCGACCACCTGCACAAATGCAATAACAGAATTTTTAAAATGCTATATTTTCAACATAATCATATTTTTAAAAATATAGTAACGCCCGTTGGTTTTACAAGTGTAACTGTAGCGACATAGCTTTCAAACAAATTAATCCGATTTTTATTATATGCGGTATTTTTTTTTGTTTGAAAGTTGATTACATTCTTAACCATAATTTATGAAGATCAGAATTTTAAAGACTATCAATTAATTTTCTAGTTGTTGGAAGAATTTCAGTTGCTGAATAGGTTTTTTTTTAATTTCTGTAATCATTTTAATAATGTTGACATTATCTTTTAATTATTAGTCTACGAGATATCTAGTTATAACAATAAATAGACAATATTATGAAGAATGAGAAATATACTCACACCTACAAGTATTATATCACTTTATCTACATTAATTTTAAAATCTGTACAAATTTACCGAGTTGCATAGACAACATAAATATGTAAGTCCAAATTTGGTCCGGAAAATGATAATATCGTTTACGATAATTTGTTAACAACATCGCGCTGCGATGTCGGGTTTGCAATGCAAAAAGTAGTTTGCAAAAGATATCATTCAATGATAAAATAATATCACACGATTATGAAAGTTCAACAAAAAATACAAATACTTGATAACGGACACCGCATGAATAAGTATAATTTAAAAAGTTCAACTTGAAGAACTTAAATAGAAATATGTCAATAACAGACTAGCATCTACATAAATTATCTATGCAATTATATATATATTAATAAGATATCTGTTTAAAATAATAGCATAGTAGTAGGTACAGTTAATACCATTATACTTTAAGTCAATAATATTAACAATATTATTCCCAGAACAATACACACAACATCATCTTGCCTCAAGTAAAGCTGGGCTTGTGTTATGAGTAGGTACTATGTAACTCATATTAATACTTAAACACATTTTTTTGCAAATACAGACGTAATAATTAATAGCACTTAGTAAGATTTTTTTTCGGGTATATACATAGGTGACTATTAGTCAAAATTCTATCAACGTCTGTATATACTAATTGATAAATTATAGAATTTACAACTGTAGTAATAACAAATAACACTGAATTAAATTTAAATTATGGTTAAAGCCGAAAAGTAGGTAGAAAGTGAAACTGTTTACATGCATGACATAGAATATTAATGCAAATTCATAACGAATCGAATAATAGCGGCATTATACTGATGACATGCAATTACCTAGTAGGTATAGAATCCTAGCTCGCACTCATGGGTTGCGATTTGAGAGTCAAATGCAGGCCAAATCTAGCGCATTGCGTACCGCGATAGCTAATAGGAAAGTCAGTGACACGAATTTTCATTTACTTTTTTGCATTGCAATATCGCTTTCACTCGAATCTTTTTATCAAATGGAATGAATGATCATTTGTAAACGTGAAAGTACACTGTTTTGTGTATATCGTACATTAAATACTCTCTACAATACAGCAACTGAAACGTAAATATGCAATGAGTTGAAAAATTTCATGTCAATTGTTCCATACTCCGAGTTTTACAATTTAATTGGTATTTAAATTGAATAATGTTCTTACAATCACCTGATTGTATTTTATATATGCAATTGTAGCAATAAAAACGGATAGCCGTATAGATCATTACGGTTATAATACCAATTCAGGTTGCTTTCTCAAAAGTCACCGTAACTTCAAAATAACATACTTTTTAAATCTGGTCATTCTATAGCACTCAGTTATACACAATTGGTGCAAAGAAATCTTTTTGCAACGTAATAATTATTTATTAAACCATTCCATTTTCCTAAAATGTAAATGAAGTGTTCCACAGTGCATTCTCACGAGTACGGAATATTCAGAGGTACCGTTTGAGTTGAGAAGAGCAATCGTAATCTATTATACATCGTGAGTTTTAAAATCCACCGGAAGAGGAGACTTTTACGGTACTGGTTTTTTAACGAACCACAAATAGCGCAACGGTCTTGTGGCGACGAGGCTTTAAAGAAATTTGACTTTTCCCATATTTTTTGTTAAGGTGTTAAAGTATAACCCACAAACCAAGTATTCCCACATTTAGGAGTTAATATAAACAATATTACTAGTAAAAGTTTATCTTACATGATACCGACTTTGTAAGTTACATGCAAGAAAGTACTAGTTAATTAAATGTCAATAATTAGTTATATTTTGCAAATTGTGCATAAAGAGTATGATGGAAAATAGTATATAGATAGAAATTCGAAAACTCTAGAAATCTTTCTATCGTGCGGTTCATTTTAAAGACAAAATTCTTAACATTCCATAGAATTACAGTGCGGCAAGGAGGGTAACTCCAGGCAGTTCCTCAGACTTGTGGTTTCTGTAGTTTTAAAGGGCAAAGGGGACAGATGCATTTGAAGCAGAAATCGGTAAAAGTCAAATAAATACTTAGTGATTTACATTATTAGATACATAAATAGTTTAATTTAGCACGATCAGAATGTAATACAATATTTTAAAGTACATACAAAGACTTGGCATCCCACCCCATTGTATTAGCATTTGCTGACATTTACGAGCCGTTGCATGACTTGATATCAGGGTTGCCAACCTTAAAGTACTTCGTAAGGAATGAAAAATACTATAAATTTTGGAACATTGCATTAATTTGGGTCGCTAACCTTATGCATCACAGTATTTTGACCAAAATTAATGTCAAAGTTTAGAACCCTCGTGGTGCCATCAGACTATCGTATCTATCATGCAGGAGTTAGCCTTCAGTTGCTAAATAAGATTTTCCACGCTTTAAGAGAGTCTTCCCCACTAGCCCCCACATCGTTTGGTAAAACTATAAAAGCCAGCAGCATCCAACAGCATTAAAACATTTCAAAAGTAAAACTCCTATAGACAAAAATTCTTGCATTCGTATGTCCTCATAGGGTTGGCATCCCTACTTGATATGCTAAAACGTGGCCAAGTGTGAAACAGTTACTGTGCTTTAACTCCATTTCAGCGATGCCTTACCCGAGATATGCTACCAGCGGAACCTTTGCTCTGATTTTGGTTAATCTTATGGCCCTTTGTTTGTTGATACGGTTATTGTCAAGTATGAGAACAATAAATTCACACCTAGATATCTATCCAACTGAATAAGTATTTGCAAAAACAATTTATTACGAGGAATGGGAAACGAAATTATATAGATATTTAAATAAATGTTGAATTAAGTATTATTTATTTATTGTTATTTATTAGGAACAATCAAAATAAAATTAAAAATACTTTTGATGAAAGTAGCAGTACATATTTGCAAACTGGTGATCATAATAATATATTGTAAATAAAATAGACATTTTTATTGCTTTATTAATAAAATCAAAATCTCTATAATAAAATATAGTTTATTTATGGAAATTTGTATTAATATCTGTTAGTCTAGTTTTAGTTATTGTGGAACTCGCATTTTAACTACTCTACGACGCTTTTTTAATGATACAGCTACTGACACACAGCTTGTATATAAAATCTTATCTCTCATTTTACGAGATGAGTGTCGTAAGTCATCTCTGTAGTCTAGCCCCGTTACACGTAAACGGGACATGCCAATTGCCAGTTACGACGTAAAGAGCAATAATTATTACATGTGACGATATTCATATGTCACGTAATTATTATAACTGTTATACTGCGGAGAGCGCGTGCGCGCCCAGCCACCGTGTGCTCTCGTAAATTGCCCAATTTAACAGTGAATATGTAAGATTAATCAAAACATCGAGTGCTGCCTGTTCTTATGATGTATTATTGAAATTGTTTGAGGTTCCAATCAATCATAGAATGTATAGAGTATGAATTGATCAGCCAAAATTCTAATCAATCATTATGCTTTGCCCGCAAGACGTGCCGGCATCAACAACAGGCAAACTTGAATGTATAAATCAGTCAAAACATTTCTATATCAACTTAAGTACAATATTTTGAATGTTAGTTTGTTACTTCTGTTGATTCTTACATTAAGTCAGTATATTATATCATTACATTGTGGTCATTATATTTATATTTATTAACGGTAAATATAACCGGATTTACTTATATTTTGTTAATGCTTAATTTCGGGAACATTCGGGTGCTTCCGAATGTATAATTAGTAATCATTATTTATAAGTAAGTTAAGTAAGTTTTTAAATAAGTAATTTTAAGTAACTTAATGAATTATTGTTTATTTTTTCTAAAAAACTATGCATGGAGATAGAGTACGAGTATAGGTAGGTATTATAATTTCTTTTAATATCTCAGTTTTTCACTACTATAATATCCCATTTGTTATACATATGAAAATAATAATAATTATACATGTATGTGGACAGCGGCGACGAATTCATTTTATACTATGAAAAGAATTCTAATTACAGATACAGAAATAGGTTACACAACCTAGCTATATTTTTAATATAATAAACCGTTTTATTTTGTATTGCCATCGATTCAAAATGAAACTACTTGAAACCGTTATAATTGCATAGTTCAGTCATATCCGAAGTGCAATCAATAATTATCTTGCAATCGACCATGATGGGTAATATATGATTTTCATTACGCACACAATAGCTGTAGCTTCCCAAGCCGCCAATGGATTAGTACCCAAGTCCTAATATTATCGGACCTCTGCAATTATTCACATACAATACAATTACCCACAGTTTACATTTCCTGTTAACCGTAAAGCAAAACAAAGTTGCTAATGTCGTGAGAATGGTTAATTACCTTTTGTTCACATGTTAATTAAATAAAAAATAGATTAATGAATAATAATAATTTTAATTCAAATTTACTTAAAAATTCAAAATAATTAATGTTTTGAATTGTAAAACAAGTAATTTATAAATTCGCTTTAATAAATATTTTAGCTGACATATGGTTATGTTAAATGTACATAATATAATCAATACAATAAGTATTACTTATTTCTAAATATTAAAATAACTGGTTACGATATACTTATACAGACATACTAAATG